AAATTGCTTTACATCGCACATTGGTATTTTTATAATATTTCGCAAATCTTTAACCATACTTTTTTTGCATTTTTTTTAGGGGCAAACTACTTCTCGGTGGCGGACGTTTTCGTGTACATCCAAAAGATCCACAGAAAACGATTGTTGACTACCTCATTTGCTTGGATTTCAACGGACCAGATCTGACAAAGCCAGTGGTCGAATCAACACTTTCCAAATTTATTCTCCAGGATGCCGAGTGGGCTCGGGAGCAGATCCGGAATGCTAAAGCTGAAAATGCTGATGCCTCCAACGAAACAAACCAATAATGCTTCTTGTGCAGCTGTTAATTTATTATTTGTTCTGACTAATGTGTGCCTTTGGCAAAACCGTAAAAAGACTTCGATTAAATTTTGTGCTGGTACATAAGACATCAAAACTTCCGTTTGATCACAGTGACCTTTTCAGGACAGTTCAGCGGAAAAATACAAAATACTTCAGTAACACTTTAGTACTTTGATCAGCCACATTTCGTAACATGGTTTTTGAATAGTTTGATCAGCCGCATTTCATAGCATGACGATCGTTTGATGCAGTTCCAAATGCTTTCTCGATCGTTTGATTATCAACTTGCTGACGATAGCAAAAGCCTTTACAAGCTCAACGGTTTCCACAAAAAAGCGCTTGGAAAGTCTTTAGCCGTTCCCAAATTTTCTTGATGCTAGGTCTGATGAGTTAGTTTTTTAAGCAACGCACAGCACACAGCACCACTTATTCTTGAACGTTGCTACTTCCATTCCTCAAAAGAGACCATTCTGGCTAGGACGGTTTTAATCCTAAATCACTGGCGATGCACACCGGGCGGGCCTGTGCTATTACGCGTTTTTGGTATTTCGTGCTGTAATTAGATGCCTTGGAAACCCAGTAGCTAGGCTTTGTGACATCTGATCCTCGAAGATCATGAAGTTATTTTTCTATGCTGTGCTTTGGCATGGAATATTTCGTTAAAGTTTCAGCGTCCCAACTTCTTTTGAGTTAGCAAATCTCCTCCAAAAAATTTAATGGGTCAGTACGTAAGAACCACACGTGTCTGGAAGCTGGATTTGATATCTTTAACTTTTACGGGGAGCTGGAAAAATACCCTTAAAATTTCAGCCCCAGCTTTCCTACTTTCCGGGTTAGCCATTTTCCTGCCAAAAATCTTCACAGAATCGTACATGAGAACCACCCACAGAGAGGAGCTGAATTTGTTAAATTTATGTTGTACATTTGCGGAGAACATGCCTGAAAATTTCTGCCTCCCAGCTTTCCTGCTTCCCAACTTATCAGCTTTCGTGGCAAGAATCCTCCTTTTAAGGCAGTACGTGGGAACCACGATCACATAGGGACTAAATTTGAAATCTTTGGGTTCTATGTGAATGGGAAACATAACCGCAAAATTAAAGCTTTCTAGGTTTTTCGGGCTCTCGATTTAACGATTTTTTTTCCAAAACTTTCAAGCTTTCGTAAGGGAGACTTACCGCTGTCCTGGGATGGCACTTGGCCGGGAACCCGTTGACAAAACGTTGGTGCCAGAGCTTGTTTGTATGCGGAGCTGAAATACCCGGACATACGCACACACATCGAGATCGTCACAATATGCGTTTTTGCATTTGCATATAACCATAAAAGCATAAGAACATTAATATTTAGAATTTATCGTAATCAAACATGAGCACCGTTTTAAATTAAAACGGTTTTTACAGTTTTAAACTAATGAAGGTCTAGTGTCTGAAAAACTCTTTTTTTTTCAGACAGCTTCTAAGCAAACATAGAATTGAAACAGGTGTCAGATTAGAAAGCAGTTTCGTGCATTTCATATACTAAATCAGTTCTTTTGTGCTGCTTTCGTTAAAAGATATCTTTTTAGCTCGGGGTTTTTTGGTCTAATTTGAAATGCGCAAACTGAAGAAAAATTGACTGCAGCCGAATATCAAGTACATTTACTAATAAAATGATCTGCCCATACAAAGCTGAAAACTTTATGCAAATTTATATCACCCGTACCATCCAATGCAAGCTCGTTTACACAAATTACCGAACTATTTATAAAAGTTGGGCATTTTCCGTTTCCGCACTAAACAAGTGCCTCGTATCTACCACAAACCGAGAAATATATTTGATACGATTGGTACAAATACAAAGACTGGCTGGCTTATTGTAACATCACGGAAGCCTATAAGGCCAATTGTCGGTTGCTCTTTCGAGGCCAATTACTGGATATTGGTTTTCCATCTATAGGAGAGAAAATGAAGCTAGTGCGTCAAATAATACAGCAATTCTACAAGAAAGCAGCATGGTGCGGTCCAGGTTGGCTTCACGATTGGCAAGGCCCATAAACTGGTGCCGCAGAACGGAACATTCTACGATTTGCTCGATGGCATTTTTGTTAAACTGAAGTCGAGAGCCAAACTTCTGCCAAAAAGGTGGAAGGCGCACAGTTCTCTTAACTGATACTGATTTCTGGACGAAGTGATGAATTTGATCAATTTTTGAGGGGAACGATAAAGCATCATTGCTGACAGCAGCTCCTAGTACTGATAGCACATGTAAAATTGTTAGTGCTTCAAATGCGATGTGTAAATTGTTGAAAAAGGCATTCTGAGTGGCTAACCTGTAGATTGGTACGAAATCCGGTTCCTTTCTCGGAAGCCAGTTGCACCGTATCTAGCGTTGGTAGAAGAAATGAGCAAGGAGTAAACACCCTCCTACCTGACTAAATGCTTAGCATAATTCAAACGGCCAATCGTGCCACATCATAACAAATAACTTATTTTTAAAAGGCTCCTCTTACTTTTTCACGTGCTAGAATAATCGAATGATGGTTCCTGGACGGCATTTAGCAAGTTACTCCAACCCCGCTGTTTGTTCATCTGGATTTTAACACTCTTTCCCACAGCAGCAGAGGCTATTTGATACAGCTAGTATTTTTCGCCCGAAGAAAGGAAAAAGAATGCAAAGAAATGAACGCGAAAAATATTAACTAGCGCTACGAGCTATTACAGCCAGCAAAAACGCTTATTGTCGAGAGGCAGTGTATGTGTATGCATGTGTATGTGTGTGTGTGTGTGTGTGTGTGTGTGTGTGTGTGTG